GCCTGAAGTTGACCTAACATTAACTACATTTAAAAAATCAGAAACAAATGAATTACCGTATAAACAAGAATTTAGTCAATTAAGAAATCAATATAAAACATATAAATCCTTATTTACAGATGGGTCCAAGGATGGTGGCGCGGTGGTATGTGCCACTGTCATTGGATCCAAAACAATATCTTCTCGACTACCAAAAAACAGCTCTATTTTCACAGCAGAAGCAAACGCCATCTTAACAGCTCTTAAATATATTAATAAACATCGTAAATATAAACAATATATCATCTTTTCAGATTCTCTTTCGTGTCTTCAGGCTATTACAAATCTTTCTTACATCCACTTTTATTAGAAATTATTGAATTGTACAATGAACTTGCTACTGGCCAATGCGACATCGTCTTTTGTTGGTTACCCAGCCACGTTGGCATTTCTGGGAATACAATGGCCGATCTTGCTGCTAAGGCAGCACTCGACAAATCTGTGACACCACTTCTAATTCCATACTCTGATTACAAAGCCAGCATTAGAACATACATCCGCGATCTAATGCAGAAGAAGTGGGACACCCAAGTAGGTATTAATAAATTACATGGAATAAAACCCTACATTGGTTACACCTACTTGGGTTGTCAGTCCAGATTTGAAGAGGTCATTATGCGGCGATGTCGCATTGGCCATACTAGATATACCCATGAATATTTGCTTAAAGGCGAAGATCCTCCGTTTTGCATCCCTTGTGATGAAAGAATCACAGTCAAGCATGTCTTGCTTGACTGCATTGAATATTCCATCACAAGGGATATCTATTTCAAATCCAAAACTCTGAAGGATCTTTTTAATAATGTCAGTTCTCATTTAATTATTGCATTTTTTAAAAAATAGATTTGTTGAGTGATTTGTAAATAGATATATATTTTATTATTGGTAGTTTAGATTAGCAACTGAGATTGTTAGTGGCTGTATCCTCAAAGGGGTTGAAGTATTGTAAAATTATTGTCCTCCTGAGAGAGGTACGTAAGTCCCAAAACATTTAGTCAATCTAAGTGTACCTGCTTTTAATCGTAGAATAAGTGTGTTTTTAATTTATGGCTCGATTTCTCTTCTGTCGCCAATGGCTGAAGGGTTGGTGTAAATCCAACTAGGGTCCATGCAGGTAGCAAAAGTAATGTAAGTCCCCATGGTTCCTAGTATGGTGATCTACCTTCAGTTGTTGGCGATCTATAACCCGTTTTATATTGTATTGTCTTCGTAAATAAAATAGTTTTACATGTTCATGCTAGTTTTAGACTCCATCTGTGATGCTCTAGTTATTTTACAGTCCTTCGCTGACAGGGTTTTATACATTATATGTATGTATTATAAATTTAGAACTAGTTTTAGTCACGATATGGCTGAAATATTGCCGATGTGACTTTAAATCTTAACTCACTCACTCACTTTTGCGTACAAACGCTGTATTATGTATTGGTACAAACTGTTAAATATGCCTTCTATACGTTTCCCTAAGAAATGTTACAATTCTACTGTTAGATGCTTCAAATGGTAAAATTAACTGGACATCAAAATTAAAAAAATCTATTGTATACAATGGGTTTTGGATACGTATTGGAAAATCAATTTATTCCTAATATAAATCTTTTTATTTCTGAATTCATATCCAGAGCCCAAAACACATATTTACAGGAATGGCATTCCTCTTTGTCTAGTGGCTCAAAAACTTACCTATATTCTCAATTTAAATTTATTTTTGGTGTTGAGCCATATCTCCATTGCATAACTATCAAGAAATTTCGTATTGCCTTAGCGAGGTTCAGGTGTAGTTCACACCAACTGAATATAATTAATTTTTTATTGTGTTCGTTAAAATTCTGGCAATCTGATTGGTTAACTGGGAACATTTCTTTTGATTTCATTTCCCAATGAATCTAAAAAAATAAGCCACGCCCACCGAACCGGACTACTTTCGGACCTGAGGAATGTCGGGGAATACCTTTACACAGCGAGGGAATTCCCTTGCACTCGGGTACCTTAATGAACTTTGGATAAACATTGAGGTGATACATTGTGGTTAACATAAACAAACAACTCAAAATTATCCGTGAACGTTAATAAAGTGTTTATTTAATAAAAAAGTGTTTGTCATAATACATTATTTGACTGGTTACTGTGGTTACCACGTGCAGTCAGCGAACAGTCGTCTGCAACTTGTCTTGTTTACATTCCAACAAGATGGCCGATTCCAAGTACGGAAGTTTTGATCTGGGGAATTTTGAGTCGATTTTCGAAGATCAATCTACCGGAAACGTTGCAACTCTTAGCACGGATAACATTGATTTTCCGGATGATTTAGACCTGGAAGAAATTGAAAGTTTGTTAGAGATAACAGCATCAACCAGATCTACAAAAACATCGGCAAATCACGAGATGACGTGTGCAATGCAAGTCGATGATAAGCCATCCCAAACACATCGTTTCAAACGTTTATCAAATAATGATTTACTTCGAATGGAGGACTACAGACAATCAACATCCACAAAAGAAACACAAAATGGGGTGTTAAACTATTCCAAGGTAGATATACACAATTCATATAAATATTATTTTCAAATTCTATCCTACGTATATTTTCTCAAAACGAAACACAGTTCATCAGCACAAAGTTGTATTTTTGACAATCGACGAAAATGTAGAAACACAAAAGAAAATAATTTTAATCTAATTGAAAAGATTCGCAGCAAAAAGGACTTACTCACTAATTTTGATGCATATTACTTACAACACATCAAACAACGACAGGAGGATGGAGAGTCATGACGACAGACTTCCAGGTAAGTTAAAATGTATGTATGTCAAACCGACCTAAAACATTACTCCTCTTATGACACGTTTTGTGCCGCCTCTAACCAATGACCTATTAAATGGCCAGGCGGATAAATACACATAGAAGGAATAAAATGCATGAATAATACGTATTTGTTTCGAACAAGAAATACAAGGACTCGTCTTACCTGACTAATATATGTCGCCTCTGACAAGGAACATATTTCCATCCGTGGAAACTGGTATCTTGCAGGAAGGCACGACATAAGTCCTGCCATTGCGAAAATAGTTCTTCTCGCAATGTTCTACCATCCTTCAGCGTGGCAACCGGCTCGACCTTCATGCTGCCATTCTACAGAACTCCGGTGTGAAGGATATGATTGATGTTTGCTGTATAGTCCCAGAATAGGCTGACAGAACAGGTTTTATTCCGGAGTAGCATCGATGAATTCACGTGAGCGACAGGTAAATATGTAATAATACGTTCTGTCGATTGATGTTGTAATGCAGACTTTCAGTATCATGTATGTTTAAAGCTTAACAATGCCGGGGCCATAATGGACAGCCAGGGAGGAACGAATTGCATTTAAAGCAGTCTATTCGTGTGTTATTTGTATAATAGCCAGTCTTGTCAAACAGATTAACAATGAGTCGTAAAATGTAAACACGTGCTTTTGTCTCCTTTGTTCTAACTCTGATTATGTTTTATATTCCATGTGATTTCTCAATTATCATCAACCATTAAACATAATATTCTCTGAATGTTTTAAGTGTATAATACACATACAGAATTGAAAGAGAGATGTCTGTGGAGTTACTCGGTGCCTTTACAAACTTACGCTTGTGCAATTGACGGAATATGCAGTGAGTGGAACTTTGTTGAAAGCAGTAAAAATAGTGTCTATGTGTGACAGTATTAGTCATAGATATATGCTACAACATGTTGCAGGAGGCAGGGGTTGCCCAGACGGCGGACGGGCTGCATTTCACTGTACAGAGTTGCGTCCCTTGAAATCGTGAGTTCGAATCCCGCTTTGCGACAGAAACCTCCTGTTTAGATGTTATTCAGCAACATACCCGTGGTGGTGGACTTTACCAACGTGATGAACGTCTAATGCCTCCATCACTTCAGCCGTTGTTCCTATACCAAGCTGACACATGGATGTATTACAGAGGCACAATGTTCAAAGCAGTGTTAAACCCAACCCATTCCCTCACTACAATATGTAAATAGATTTCAGAAATACAGTTCGCTGTACCACCATGTATAGTGTAATAAAGCACACTTTCGCCCTGAACTATTATAGTTAAAGCACGAGGACAATATGAACGTCACACGTCTACTACCAACGTAAGTTTAGATCAGTACATCCAGATGAAGCTGAGCAGTCAAGCGACATTCCATGATTGCATTGTGACAATGTAAACATTGCGAACGTAACCGTGTCGCCGAAAACTTGTGAGTCGAATTGAGACATTTTAACCGTCGGAAAACATAAACGTAATGTTTCCACCTGTGATGTTAGCTGCGTGAAGCAATTGCAAACCAAGAAACGGGATGCAACGAAGTAGTTTACGGTTGGAGGCTGTACGAGTCGATGACAACTGACAGGCATCGTGACGTTGCTTACATTGTGACGTAAGCAAAATTGTTCGATTACGAGGGGGCAGACTACAATGGCGCAGCGACGCTAAGACATTGTGACGTAATGCAAAAAGTGCACATTATCGTCTGATAAAGTACTGTCGGCGCCTTTGATCTTTCACCGAATCATCTTAAAAGGAGCAACACGTACAGAATACAATAAAAATATACTTGATAGGAAATACATCCAATTTATATGAAGATACATATCACATTGTACACATTGTATATGAAATAAACATAATCGAGATATACAGGTAGTCGAGGAATGTGTTGCCGACGGATGGGGATTTTATCACATGAGCGGGCTACGATGTTTAGTTCTACTTCTCACTTATGCTTGAAACTACGAACAATCCAAATATTTCATGTTAGTGATGTGCTAAATACTTATTTCTGTCAACAAAACCAAACAATATTTCTAAAGACTGTTTGGAAGCCATATTTCACAATGTTTAGATAATAAACGCAATGAAACATTAAACTTGACTTCCTGAAGAAATAAAACCCCACAAAACAATGCCTCGTTTGTTTGTTTTAAGAAAACACATATCTATTCGATGATGTTGGGACATCCACAATTCAACTGAGCAGGGATCAGCTTCCTCGAGACTGGAGCAATCTGGAACAAGGCAAGTAGCAAATAATGTTGCATCTAAATGTATGACAATGTGTGCAAAATGCTAACAATTTCTTTGAGGGGCATCTTACAAGATGGGAAGTACAATTTTGACAAAATATATGGATAACAACGTATTTTATTTTGTTAGTACCACGTTTCGATGCATATTTTTGCTCTGTTGTCGATCTGTACCGAAACATCCCACCCTCGAATTGATTGTCACACTTTGAAGGAAACCGGAACTGTCCTGATTGTTACGGCCTAAATGATATATATGTATTTATTCTAAGTATGTTTGTTTCATAGGTGTGGCAGAGAATTGTTATAGTTTATGGTCAAAGCGTTCTAATCGGGTTATACTCAGTGATTTCAAAGGGGGACTACTGCTGGGAAGTGATATGTTTAAGTTGAGAAGTATGTCACCTGCTTGCCATGTGAGCGACTTCTCTCTGTAATCAGATGGTCTACCAGCGGCATGAATTACTTTGACATTTTTGCTAGGAAGCAGTTTGTGTTTGGGGCAACCAATGTATTAGCAGCATGTTTGCAATATTCAGTAATGTTATTTGTCCGTATTCCAAATGATTTCGAAACTGTAGTCACGAGTGTGCACGAGTCCTCAGTGTAGAATTGTACATGTTGGATTGTTAAGGCTTAACAGTGTAATGGTTATTATATTGAACTATTGACCATGCAAGTGAACAGTAACTTTTGTCATCTGTACAGGTAGACTATATACTTTGTCAAAAACATGACTTACTGATGAAGTGGGAAACCTTAATATTGTGAGAGCATTATACATTATTCAAGATTCCCTTATTTCTTTGAGTCTACAGCGAGAAAACTTGTATCGAATTGACTTTGGAAGAACTATAAAAATTGATGTTTTACCCAAACATTAGTATTGACGAAAGGAAACCTCGGAGTCAGACAGATGATAGTCTGACAAGTATTGACGGGAGAGCAGAGGCTTGGATTATAAAAATGACAGGGAAAGGTATTCAGTTCGTGGCACTTGTACGAAGTTAATCTTGCAGAAGAACAAAATTGATTCTCTGATGCGGATGGAGGATGATTACACTTATGTTCAAGCTGCATACAGAGAAGTCTCCTGAAGACTTTGTCAGAAACGTATCCTTTATGATGAAGTTGAAAACTTTTATTGTTGTGATAATGCAGGGGGCGTTCAAAAATTAGTCAGCCTCATCTAGAAAATGATAAAAATGCAGGTGTTTTATGTTATATTTTTCTACATACTTGTATTATCTGTCAACCTCAAGCAAATTGCTTTTGTTATGTTCCAGACTCACGATCCCAATTTTGTTTGACTTTTGTCTTGGTACCCCACAAAAACGCAAAATCTGCAATATATGCATCACAAACTTCAGCAAACAAAATGTGCAAAAAACATTTTGTGTGTTTGACTTAGACAGAAGTCCGCTAGAATCATACTTAGGTATCAAAGTGGATAAAAAAGCAATTTGAAACTACAGTGGCTTGTTAAAGTGACTCTCCCCTTCATATTTACTGAAAGATCTTATTCTGGAGACACTACCCATCCCCTTTCAGATGACGTAATCATAAGGACAAAACTTATTCTTATGTTTTCATTTATTCATACATGATGCCAAGGGTTCAAACTAAATACTGAATGATCACACAAGTGTCAGCTCTCAATATATTGTTAACAATGTGAGCTTGAATATCTGGGCACAATGGTTTTGAAAGAATAGAATGAGGGTGTCCTTAAAAAACAGCCCACGTCTGAATATAATTCAAGCAAATCCAAATCTTTGAATGTTTATTATGACGAAGTCATCCAATACTATTCTAAACATATGTTATAAGATATTATCTGAGGACCGTATACTATTATCCAAGCGGTACCAAATGGCAGATAGTTTCTCATTTTCTGTAATTTGTAAAGAAATATTATATCCCAATCTGTTATGATGACTAATATCTCGTTAACCACATTACCCACGTATGTGAAATTTTCGATAAGGCTTTGCTAATAATTACTTCAAAATATTAGACATCGAGAATACAGTTAGGCTGACTACTTTTTGAACGCCCCTCGTATGCATATATAATGGTATTACCTCAACATTCCCTTATTTCTCTATGTATGCAGTCAGTCTATGGCGAGGAAACATGTACCAAGTTAATGTTCGACCTTACACTGATGATGAGGGTTCAAAAGTCGGACAAATATGTCAATGAAAAGTTTTGTTCACAAAATCAGGGAAAACTTCAAGGAAAAACGAATTTGATCATGTGATAAATAAGTTGTTTACAACAGGATTATCAAAGGTGAACTGGATTACCGAGGTCCATTTTGTTCCTCAACCATGACGTTTACGTCTGGCCCAAAGGATCGTCAGGCTTGTCAGCAAACATGCGGCCACTAGTTCCAAGAGTTCGACGATGGTGAGTATACTGGCCCCAAGAAACAGCCCCATCTGGCCACCAATATTGGCTGCACAAGTAGACAATATCATGTCAGCTTGACATTAAGTATGCGCTGTTAGTATTTCTGTGTCAACAAGGTGTCAATGGCAGTTCTATCTTTCCAAAGATAATAAATTTTATCCTTTTGGAGAAGAAACAACACATTTGTAAGTCTTTCCAGTACACTATTCTGTATAAATTGTATTTAGTGTACTGTGAGAGCAATGTTGAACATGCTCATTTGCCTAAAACGTTAAAAGCAATAATTCGGTGCTATCGAACCAAGGATCACAAACCAGTCGGATCACGGACTACATTGTTCTTCTACAGGGCTAGCTACTGCGACCCAACTAACTTGAAAACATTGCCCCTAAGAAAGGCATTGAAATACAACAAATTAATAAACATTGATACCGACCAAATATTTCACCCAACTCCAGTTCTGGTACGTGCTCGGTCCTTTCAACTACCATGCTGGCAAGTCTGATTTGTAGAACCAGGTAATTTTGTCTGGATGATATAAGGAAAACATGAGTAAAGAGTTGCTCCACAGAACCTGCTGAGATTATAAATACGGTGACAAAACCTATAGGTGTATGCTTTGTTGTAATTGTTGAGACATGTTTCCATTGTTATTTCTTAACTATCAAGTTCCTATGCATCTTGTTGAGTAAATTCAAAGATATATCAAATCAGTGTAGATCCGAGAAACGATGGATGGTTTGCTGCAGTACCATGGATGATACTTGTATGAACGATCTTTGTTAGTTCTTTGATGTAATGATTGTAATCGTATCGGGCATATTGTTTGCACGATCACTTATCTATGCAATTTGTAATTTGAAAGATGGAATACTAATTTATCAAAGATATGCTTCACCACAGATCAATTCTCACCTTATCTTGTCAGGGGTATATGCCGCATTCAGTAAAGTAAACGGGAAGGTGACCTTTGATGGCAGTACCATGGATGATACCTGTATGTCATACGATGTCTCTTCACATGGGTACTGACATGCACAACTCTTCCCCATCCTGGCTTCCCACTGTACTTGATCTAAACACAAATAAAGAGTTTTGCATTAAGCAAATCCATATGGCCCTAAGTGATATGGTGTTAGTAAGTTGTATTTCACCATTATTGTGTAAGTTTATATTGACTTTACTCGTCACTATGTGTCATGTGGAAAGATGTTCGTACATTATATGTATACATTATACATTACACATAAATCATGACACCAGTTCCTGTTAAAAAATTGTGTACAATATACAAGGATTCTCTCTGCCTGTTCCATTCCTTCTTGTACCAAAACGGTTTTAAGAGGGAGAACTCGTTTCCAATGTCAGAGAGTGTTTGCTTGAAACAAGGAGCCTTTGCATGTTTGTTTATGGCAGCCATCGGCAGTTGAGGATGCGCTTACCCTGTTGCGACTTCATTGTAGCGTCAGTATGTTATAGTGATGTTTAGACACACGCTTATGATATGGTCGTGCTTTTGCGGCTTTTACTATGGACAATCAACAAAAATAATGCATCTGTACCACGAAAATGTCAGTGCTGTATATATAGGATCTACGTGTTTGCAATTTCGGTGAAATGGAAATGATCTTACCGTAACATGTTTTCACATCCTTCACAGAGCAGTGTCGTAAACTGACTCTTGCTGAAAAATATATCACCAGTCAATGTAATACAAAGCACCTATGCAACTAGAAGTTCGAATTTAATAATTCAAATGTGTTTAAATGCCACAGGTTCAAGAACTATCTTAAAATGAAGTGAATCTTTTCTGCATAGTAAAATGTTATTTGTGTATTGTTAAGGTTAAATGGGGAAAAGAAAAAGAACCTAAACCCACAACTTAGAAGAGATTCCAACCAATAGTTTCAAAAAATGCCCTAAGTAAAAACGACCATATTCGTATTCTGTGATATCATTTTGATACTTACATCAAAATGGCAAGAACTGTGTTGTTGCTTTCATTGGGATGTGAAGTGTTCATTTCTTTTGAAAATGGGAAAGGTACCTTGCTGGGGTTCCCATCCGGCGGTGCAGTTACAGGCATCCATGGCAGCCTTATTGGAGCACTCCAGAAGACACCCGTCAAAGCTGTACACCTTGAACCACTCCAGAGGGTTGACAAAGTCCGAGGCTGTAGTGTCCACACAATCCGTCCCGCGGGTATTATAGGGGTCTGGAAGGTACTTCATCTGAGGGCATGTATCAACAGACGCATCTTAACATCATCGTAAGGACATGTTATTTGTTGGCAAAGTTGGATTCCAGATGCATGAGATTGTATGCTCTAATCCGACAGGCGTGTCCAAGATATTGATGGCCCCGCAATTCACTGTGCATGGTTGTGTCTCTTCCGAGTGCCAGAAACATCCAACACTGGTTCGAATCCTAGTTCACCATCATTGTGCTTCCAGCTTTTTCAGCCCCACTACTTTTTCCACCATTTTGCTGTGAATGTACCAGATTCTCGTTATTTAAACGGGTGAAATTAACTGATTTTGATGTTATGTTGTGTGTACTTATAAACCTACTCTGCATTTTAACTCAGGACTCAAATTGATTTTTTTAGACATAATTCTCTCTTGACACAAACTCACCTTTTTCTTTGTCAGCCCAATGCGTGTCGACGTCCCGACCGATACACCAATCAGTGAATGATCACTGTAGCTTGGTGCTGTTTCAGGTTCATCGATATATACCTGATTCAACAAAAAGAAGATGACATTGTAGGATCGAATTGGAAGTTTAAGAGTGAGTGAGTGAGTTCAGTGTTACGCCACTTTTAACAATATTCCAGCTATATCACGGCATGGAAGTTTAAGAGTGCTCCCTTCATATCAAATATACATGCCATTATATTTGGTATGAAAACATGATGGCTTCTTTTTTTAGCCTGACTTTAAATTTTTAGCGAACTAAACAAAGTTAAAAATAACTGACTTAAATATTCTTTGCCCGGTTATTATACTGCTTCTTGGATTTTTAGCAGTGTTTCAGCTATATGACGGCAGTCTGTAAATATTTGAGAATAGTCGAGACAAACCAGTGACTGAAATGATAAGAAAGGATCCACATCGTCAGAGTGTGTTGTACAAAAAATCAATCAAGTCATGCAGTTTGGCAATCTGAATCTGAAAGATAGAATTGTCTGACGTTAAGTCATCTGAATTAATGGCAAAATGTTGGTCTGGAAATGTCAGTGATTGTTATACTACATTCGTCTTAGACTATGAACACATTTAATATAGATTCGTTTGCTATTAGCCTCCAAGGCACATGTGTGTGCCTGTCAGAATTATCTTTACCTATTATGATATTTACCTGTACCCCTGCCTCGTATGTAGCTCCCTCCAGATAGGTATCTTGCATGATGTCAATAGACATTAACAGTGCTGTTTGTTCAGACTCAAGAGCATTGACATCAGTGTTAGCGTTGAAGGTGAAGCAGCGATGATCTTGCTTCTGGCTGTAGTTCAAGCTTTCCTGGAGGATTCGGTTGTTTTTGAAGAATATGACTTTAAAAATATCTTCTTTTTTGTATGCCCCACCAGCCCAGAATTTGACATTATCCAGTTTATCGAGCTCTCTCTCTTCCTCTCCGTCCCAGTCAACTTGCGGTAAAATGTGTGCAAGGTACCCAGAGCTGCGAAGATAGGCTAGCTCTGCGTTAGTTAGGTTCTGTTCGCTTATGTCAAACTTGTTCAGGGTGCATATAGTGATAGCAGGAAACCTGATCTGTTGTTTGCGTTCTCTTGTAATCTTGGTGATGAAGCTGTAGCTGTAGTACTTCTTGTAAAGATCAGCCAGCGCACTCAGACTCACCCCAATCATTGTTAAAAGCAGCAATGCCCATAATATTCTGAAACAGTAATATACACTGGTTTACTGCTTTTTAGAGACAACGTTTGTAGAATTATTTATTCTCATTTGTTCTCGGTCACTTTTGGTTTTGATTTTGACTAGACACCGTGACCAGCTGAGCAATCATTTTACTGACTGGGTTGCACATAAAAATAGTGTAAAGAGGCAATCACACGTGTGTGTTTCAGATCATAAGAAGCGAGACCTTCGGAGTTTAGAACAAATACTGTGTTCGATACTATATATTTCAGGCTGTATCCTCTTTATCATATAAATTCTAAAACTCTACAGTTCTTTCCTATTCCTTTGGAGTAGTTGATTGGACAGAACAAGACATCCAGAGTCTTGACCGCCTGACCAGACGGATCATGTCTGATAACAGAGCCCACCACCCTCGCTCCTCTCTCAATCGTTTATATATGCCAATCAATTCGTGAGGTCGGGGTTTGATTAATGTGGACGCTCTTCATGACAAAATTTCATTGTGTACTTTTGCACATATTTATTTCTCGGATGATCCTCTGGTGATGCATGTCAAGACTCATGATGAAAGCAAGAAGAAAATCTGATATTTGAGGTTGATTTTGTAGATGATGGTGTGCTGATGGACGGTGCAGCAATGGGAGTAAACCAGGTGAAATCCTTTACCAAGTCTACTCAAAGTCGGTCATTTGTGGAGAAGCTTTCTGAGAAACCATTGCATTGTGTGTACATGCAATGTGAAAAACAGAACAGTAATCCAACCGACTTCTTCACTACGTCGGGTAGTCTTAAATGTGAAACTGAGCGCTTTCTTTTTGCTGCTCAAGACCAGTCACTTCCCACTCGCAATCGCCAAAATGTGATTCTAAAAGAAAATATTTGCATGAAATGTCGATTGTGCAATTAATTTACAGAGACGTCAGTGGATGCCCTTCCTTGGCACAAACAGCATATCTTAAACGATATGATGGCATGGCTCGTTGCTTTTACTACCGTCTCCGCCATGCCTGTGGTTTTAACTCTGAGGTCCATCCATGGTACGACCGTGAATATGTCCAGGGCGTCATGGAAAATGCTGCTTTCAAACTTCTGTGGAATATCCCCATACACAGTCTGAGAAGAATACCTCCCAACAAACCTGATCTTGTCCTTTTTCATAAAGCTAATGAATTTATTTATAACATTAAATTTTCATTCGCTTTTGACAGCAACGTGATTGGCAAGATTCAGGAAAAGCATGATAAATATGCGGACCTCGCCTTTGAAATGTCTCGCTTGCATCCAAAGTACACTGTCGTCAGACTCCCCATTGTTCTCGGTGCCCTTGGTTTGGTACATCCTCATCTCTTCGCACAGATCAGGAGAGTGCCCAGGGTCTCCAAAGGGGGCACAGCCCTTCTGACACATTGGGTAATGCAGAAAGCTGCAGTGTTGGGGAGTCTACATGTAGTACTTGAAGTTCTTGGTGTATTTGACTGGGCAGTGTTTCCTGGGGAAAGTCCCATTTGCTGTCTACGCTGCGTGTAGAGGGGGGCAAGGGCCTTGAGCTGAAGATGAACCTTACCAGCCTGACTGTGCTAGGGTCACCCGAACCCTATCTGCTGCATATTTACCTTAATCTGTAAAACATGATCCTTTGAGCTTTCTGCTCAATAAAAAAGGAGGGTTACCACCACTTACCTCCTTAACATGGATGACATCGAGCTCCTTGCCAAAAGAGATACCAATTTGAAAGTGCACTTCTTGTCAAGTCCTTTTCTTGAGCAAGTTGTTTAAGACCAGGCCTACACTTATCTTGGAATGCACGTACGAGACAAGCTCCAGAATGTAAAGATTCAAGACAAACTTCGAACTGAGTATAAACTCGCTTAAAGAAAATCTGAAGCTCAGAGCTAAATGCTCGAAACAAGGTCGAAGCCACCAATACTTTTGCTTTGCCAGTTCTTTCCTATTCCTTTGGAGTAGTTGATTGGACAAAACGAGATACCCAGCGTCTTGACCGCCTGGCACAGATCAGTAGAGTGCCCGGCTTCTCCAAAGGGAGCACAGCCCTTCGGACCCTCTAGGTCTACATATTCTCAGGAAGGATCAGTCTGGACTAGTGAAAGCTATACAACATGTGGACCACGTGGTCGACAAACTGATACAGTTTGGTTACATGAAAGCTGAGATTATTGAAAAACCTCAAACCTCCTTTGACTGTGCTGGAGAACTGCTGTCTATCTTATCTAGACGGGGGGCCCACTGACTGTTGTAGAGTGAGTGAGTGAGTGAGTGAGTTATTTAACGTCACATCGGCAATATTTCAGCCATATCGTGACGAGAACACTTGACATTGGAATAGAATATATATAGAGATTATAAAACCTGCCGACAAAGGACAGTAAAGCAACTAGAGTATCACAGATATATATGTAAAACTAGTAATTGAATCTAAAACATTTTAACTATAGGGGACAACACAATATGAAAATGGGCTATAGATCGCCAACAACTGAAGGTAGATCACCATACTAGGGACCATGGGGACTTACAGTACATTTGCTTCCTGCATGGGCCCTAGCTGGATTTACATCATCCCCTCAGCCGTTAGCAATTGAGATATATCTAGCCATACATTAAAATTACACATATTTTACGATTAAAAAACGGAAAGTTGAAATTTACTTTGAATGTTTTTGGGACTTACGTACCCTCTTAGGAGGACAATAATTTTACAGTACTTTCACCCCCCTCGAGGATACAGCCACTAACAATCTATGTTACTAATTCAAACTTCCAATCATAAAATATTTAGCTATTTCCAAATCAGTTAACAAATTTAATTCTTTTAAAAAAGCAGTAATTAAATGAGGACTTATATTAGGAAAAAGATCCTTCATAGTTCGGGATTTGAAATAGATATCCCTTGTGATGGAGTACTCAACACAGTCAAGCAAGACATGCTTGACCGTGATTCGTTCATCACAAGGGATACAAAACGGAGGATCCTCACCTTTTAATAGGTACTCATGCGTATATCCTGTGTGGCCAATACGACATCGTCGTATGATGACCTCTTCAAATCTGGACTGACAACCCAAGTAAGTGTAACCGATATAGGGTTTTATTTCATGTAATTTATTGCTACCTACTTGGGTGTCCCACTTCTCTTGCATCAGATCACGGATATAAGATCTTATAGCAGCTTTGTAATCAGAGTATGGGATCAGAAGTGGTGTCACAGATTTGTTGAGTGCTGCCTTAGCAGCAATATCAGCCATTGTGTTCCCAGAAATGCCAACGTGGCTGGGTAACCAACAAAAGACGATGTCGCATTGGCCAGTAGCAAGTTCATTGTACAATTCAATAATTTCTGATACAAGTGGATGTTTGCAAGAAAGATTTGTAATAGCCTGAAGACACGAAAGAGAATCAGAAAAGATGATATATTGTTTATATTTACGGTGTTTATAAATATATTTAAGAGCTTTTAGTATTGCGTTTGCTTCTGCTGTGAAAATTGAACTGTCATTGGGTAATCTGGAAGATATTGTTTTGGACCCAATGACAGTGGCACAAGCAACCGCGCAACCATACTTGGACCCATCTGTAAATAAGGATTTATATGTATTATATTTACTTTTTAATTGATTATATTCTTGTTTATATTGTAATTCATTTGTTTCCGATTTTTTAAATGTTGTAAGTGTTAAGTCAACTTCTGGTCTAACTAACTGCCAAGGAGGAGAAGAAAGAAGACGGGAAGGAGCTATATTTTCCAGCTCAATGCCGGCAGCAGCAATAAATGGCTTAATTCTGAGCCCAAGAGGCGGAACAAGAGAAGGTTTTTTGTTATACAAATCCTCATAAAAAGGATTAAAGACACAGTGAAATGCAGGATTAGACTCGTTAGAATATAATTTTGTAATATATTGTAAAGATAATTTTATACGGCGTTGGTTAAGAGAAGGTTCATCTGCCTCGACGTAAAGACTGTCAACAGGACAAGTTCTGAAGGACCCAAGACAAAGTCTCAGACCTTGATGGTGGACTGAATCTAAGAGTTTTAGGTTGCTTTTACAGGCTCCACCATATACGATGGAGCCATAATCAAGCTTCGAGCGGACAAGTGATCTGTAAAGGTGTAGGAGCGTAGCTTGATCCCTTCCCCACATTGAATTAGACAATAAATCGAGTGCCTTCAGGCATTCAGTTTTTAGAGATTTGATATGCGGAAGAAAAGTTAAATGGGAGTCGAAAATGAGACCTAAGAACTTGGCCTCTTTTACAACCTTGATGGGAGTGCCATTTAAAAACAGTTCTGGGTCTATATGTGGTTTATATTTACGGCAGAAATGTATGCAATTAGTTTTTTGATTTAGAAAATTTAAAGCCGTTTTCAAGACACCATTTATGTATTTTATTTAAACACAACTGTAGTTGCCGTTCAATAGTATGCATATTCTTACCGCGACAAGAAATGTTAAAATCATCCACAAAAAGTGATCCATCAATTGAATCGTTTAAAACCTTGGATAAGCTGTTGATCTTAATGCTAAATAAAGTGACAGACAAAATACTTCCTTGGGGGGACACCCTGATCCTGATTATAATGGTTAGACAGGGTTGAACCCACTCGGACTTGAAATTGCCTGTCTTTTAAAAACTGTGATATAAAAAGAGGCAAACGGCCTCTCAAACCAAAATCATGTAAATCCTTCAAAATGCCATGCTTCCAGGTTGTATCATAAGCTTTCTCAAGATCAAAGAAAATTGATACAGCATGTTGTTTATTTACTATAGCATTTTTAACAAAGGATTCTAAACGTACCAAATGATCAATGGTACTACGATTTTTCCTGAAAACCACATTGAATATTGGTTATAAGGTTATTGGTTTCAAGATACCAAGTTAATCTATTATTCACCATACGTTTCATGGTTTTACAAACACAGCTAGTTGGAGAGATCGACCTGTAATTCGACGGATCTGTATGATCCTTGCCAGGTTTTGGTATTGGGACTACAATGGCA